TGTAATCCCTCGCGCGCTCCCCCTCCTTCAGCCGGGGTCGGCGGATAGTGCTGATGGCTCCGCTGTAACTTGTTCTTTGAAGCCTCCCTCCGTTGCAGCTTCCGCGGACGTTGCAGGTTCCACATCGTCCTGCTGCGAGATAAAAGCTGCCAGCTGGAGTTTGCCTCCAACCACCTGGCGGTGTTGCCTAGCATTGACTTTAGGTGGATGTTTAGACAATGGAACATGTGAGTGAACACGTGGAACATATGGTTTTGGTTTGCTTTGGGTTGCTGACGTTCAATCGTTTGCCATCCCAGGTTGTCATTGCCCACGTTTCCTGCTGACTCAACCGATTCCGGCAAGAAAGCTATCAAGACGGAGGCTGAGAAGTCTTTTGCACTTCTGAAAGTTGAATTAGGCCTCCTCCGATATGTGTACAACAGTGGCTCTAAGAGACAAAGTTGTCAACTGTAGAAACATGTGGAGTCACCTATCAGCAATCCATGCAATCTGACTGACTTGTGAACATTGACTTGATGGAGCACCGGACCGTTCGAGACTGGTTCAGGTTTCATGGACGAAGCGGGCCTTCAGCAAAGCCAGTGGCATGTGTCCAACCATTTGCTCAAAGCAAGTTTTGCTGACTGTTTTGCTCCTAAATGCTTATGTTACTATTTTCTTGTCCTTCCTGTGGGTGAGCTTGCCACCTCCTTTCCCCCTTTATGCCCAGTCTTTGTTGAACTTGAATACAGCAAGTTGAGCGAAGATATTGCCAGTCCCACTGATACCACGTGCTCTTGCTGAGGTGCTCTGAGTTGCTGCCGCTCCTCTACAAGCAGTTTACTCCCACGAAAAGAAGCTTGGCAATGGTCAGTGAGGGGTAAGTGGAGGTGGGGCGATCTTTTGAATCTTTTGAGCTGTTTTGCGTGCTATTTACAAACCTGGTGACGTTGTTGTTAAACGAAACACTCCTGCTGAGCAGTGGGGGGGTTGCTCTAATTGATATCTTGGAAGTAAAAATCATCAGGAACTTGAGTTTGTCCCTTGCTTTTGCTTCATGCGGCTTCACATGTCCGGCCAAGGGAAGATGCTGCTGTGGGAGAATCTGGGCAGACAAGCCAGTACACCTGAGATGTTGCAACCATTGTGTGTCAGTCCATTCAGCAGGGTATGAGGTTGAGAAATGCTGGCAAGCCAACGCAGGCCTTTTTACAACCTACAGTCGATTACAATAAATTTACACATTGCATATCAGAGTGTGTCTTTCTTTGCTATTTTCCTACACGTGTTTGCACGTTTGCCCTACCCCCCCGAGGAACGTTCCCCAAGCTGCGCCTTGCCTTAGATTTCAGCGATCCACTCCCACTCGTTTCATTCAAGTTCAGTCCATGGACCAGTGACTAGCAGACGCAAAACCCGAAGGGTTCATGGGTTTTGATGGTTTTTGGATCAAAGCAGTTCCAATCGCTTTTGTGATGGCCCAAGTGGTTTGTGACCCAGCAGCTGAACAGGGCCTTGCACTCAACGATTTGCGACATGGGTCTCTCAGTTGAGGCTTTGGCCATCCTCTACCTGGCTTTAGTCCCGGGAGGCAGCACTGTAGTGGCCGTTCTGAATCTCGCCGTTCCCATCGTCCAAGTGACTGGCACCTTTGTGTCTCCACCGCAGGAAGTGTTTGAGTACCCCATCAAGCCTTGGGCGGTTGGGTCATATTGAGGCTTCGCAAGTGGCCATCCGTTCGACCATGATTGACCGATTATGAAAGGTCAAAAAAGGCTTCAAACATCGGAAGAGACCTTTTTGTTGGCGATTGAGGGAAGGTGCATTGAGGGAATCCAGCAACAGAAACTCAGCATGTATCATAAATCCAGATCATAGAATCCTCGTACAGTTGAAGTTATTTACCTTCCCACTGGTCAAGTGCAGCAAGTTGTTTGCTGAGATCTTCAGATGCCTTGCCTTTCATCATGTGTTCACCTTTCAAACCTCTGTCGATGTCATTCGACGTGTGACCTCAGGTGCTGTTCAAACCATTGCAGCGCCGCATCGCTCCGAAGCTGGCCAGCAAACTGGACGCGGCGCTGGAGGCCGCTGACGGCGACCAAGTCGTCCGTTTGAAGGACGAGGCGAGGCCTGAGCCGGAGGAGTTGACACAAATGAAGTGGTCACAAGTCACAAACAACCAAAAGCAAGGGACGAGTTGGATCTGTCGTGATGTGTCTATTGTTTCATGCAGCTCGAATATATGGGTTCCGTTTTATCTTGGTTTTTGCCTTGGATGTAGTTTGTGAATGTTTCTGATGCTACTTGTAACTTGATATTTAGCCCAGCCCCAGGAGACAGAAACTCAGGGGTTGAAGGCCACTGGTTAGTTTCAGCTGGCTGGGCAAAATCCAATTCTCACAGGTTTCGGTTTGCACCTGAAAAAGATACAAACCATTGGATCCCAAAGTGTACCTATATATATATATATACGTAGTTTGAATCACATTTGGATTTCCAGACTTCCCCAAATACCTCATAGAAGGTGTGGAGGCCAACCTTCTTGGTTTGAAGGTGTTCCTTTTCTGTCTTGTTTGTCTCAATGTCGTTTGGCAAGGGAAAAAAAACGGATGTCAAGCATCCCATGGACCGATATTTGCAACCTTGGGAAGGCTGGCTTGGAGAATGACGCCGGTCTTTTTCGCGAAATCTGCGTG